ATACCATCATATAATGATGAGGGACAACTACACATCCTTTATGTTTTATTGGGATATCATGTTTTATTTTTTCAGAACTATCACGAGCATCTCCCGTATCTTTAATCTCATATTAAAATAATAAAATCCTTCTTTTTAACAAAATTTAATCAAACTTAGGGTGTGAAAATGTCTTTTTAACATACCTTCAAGTATCTTAATTTTGACTAATTCAGTTAACCTCCAGGCTAAAATGGTCTTTTAGCATGTGAAGTTTGACCAAAATATTCTTAAAAGAGATTTTTAATATGACCTCGGAAATGAACGTGACATTTTTAGAAACACAAAATAAAACACGACATTTTTATGAAACAAAAAGAAAGTTTAATTACTTACCTTAAAGATTATTTACCAGTCGTGAATAGGAAGAATCTTTACGGACCTGTTTAGTTCGTTGATTTGAGTTGAGATGTGATTTTATGTGAAAATTTTTTAATGTAGTAAAAAAGCTAGATATGACTGTTTTTAAAATTTTTATACTGTAGTAAAACTCAAATCGGTGAAATTAACGGGGTCAAAAAATGGAGCTAATGGTGCTAGTAAATTATCTTTAAAAAAAAAAAAAAACGCTAAAGAGGTCACGGAAAGCGAAGCACCACTAAAGGGAGCAGGGATTCTGCTAGAACAGGCCCCTAATGTTGGGTCACGGTGGCGTGCTTGCGAGGATCGAACTTGCACTCCTCATGCGAGCTCTACAGCGAGATCTCCTTGCCACTGTGGCCTGTGCAGTCGTATGATTATGATTTTAAGCTCCGTTCATTTTACCGATTCGAGTTTTATTACAGTAAAAAGTTCTCAGAAACAGTTATATATAAATTTACTGTTATAGTAAAAAGCTCTCACATAAAGTCATATATAAATTTAAATTAAAAACTCAAATCAACGAACTAAACGGTCCACTAAATTTGAAAATAAAGTTGTTAATTTGATATCATGATGACATAGAATGAATATGCTAATATATATATATATATATATAATAAATTGCAAGTGTAAAATCTGTGAAGTTAAGGGCTATGTAACTAAAGAGGTAGGAAAGAAAAAAAAAAAAACTTTTTATTAATTGTTGTAAATTCACATCGTCACCTGATAGAAATAAATCCTATTTGACTCCTATACCATCATATAATGATGAGGGACAACTACACATCCTTTATGTTTTAATGGGATATCATGTTTTATGTTTTCAGAACTATCACGAGCATCTCCCGTATCTTTAATCTCATATTAAAATAATAAAATCCTTCTTTTTAACAAAATTTAATCAAACTTGGGGTGCGAAAACTTCTTTTTAACATACCTTCGAATATCTTAATTTTGACTAATTTAGTTAACCTCGAGGCTAAAATGGTCTCTTAGCATATGAAGTTTGACCAAAATATTCTTAAAAGAGATTTTTAACATGACCTCGGAAATGAACATGGCATTTCTGGAAACACAAAATAAAACACGACATTTTTATGAAACGAAAAGAAGGTTTAATTACTTGTCTTAAACATTATTTGCCAGTCGTGAATAGGAAGAATCTTTACAGACCTGTTTAGTTCGTTGATTTGAGTTTTTAATTTGATTTGAGATGTAATTTTATGTGAGAGCTTTTTACTGTAGTAAAAAAGTTAGATGTGACTGTTTTTAAAATTTTTGTACTGTAGTAAAACTCGAATCGGTGAAATTAACGGGGTCTACAAAAGGTGGAGCTAAGAGTGATTTGTCAAGAGGAATTTTTCAAGCAAAGGAATGATGGCTCAATTGAATGGCTAGATAGATAGTTAGGCTCATTAGCAAAAAGAAGAAAGATAGTTAGGCATGCAAAGTTTTGGCAATCATTTTCTTTTCCCCTTTAAAAGTTGGCTAATCGCTAGTACTAAGTAAGAAGCGTGCTTTCAGGAAAAAAAAAAAAAGTATGAAATGTATCACTAGTTAATAGGGAATTCAAAAATAAGAATTACATAGAAAGAGCACTTCATCACTATTTAATTTAACCAACCCATTTTGAATACAGTTAAATCTCTATAAATTAATATCATTGAGACCATGAAATTTTATTAATTAATCAAAATATTATTTGATCGAGATAAATTAATATTTTTGAGACCAAGTTGGGACCGGCCAAAAATATTATTTAATCGAGATTATTAATTTATTAGAATTATAAAAGAACTTCTATATATATGCATTATTGATAAGTAATTTTTGTTACTTATCAATGGAAAATCATAATTATATCACTAAAAAATACAAATTTATAAGAATTTTTAATGAAAATATAATGATGTATTAAAATTTGAATACAAGATAGCAGGAATCCTGGAAGCTGCGGCTCAACGATGAAAAACACGTGATGGGCCATCTCGCTTTGGAGAAACCGGTTTGATCTCTTGTGCTTAATTTGGATGCAAATGCCATTGATCTTGTCCAAACCACAAAACTGCCCCAACCACAAAACGTGATCGAGTCCTGCGAAAATGGCAGTTTCTGTGATGTACTATGCGCCTCTCATTCCTGAATGCAGCCTTTCAGGTCGTCCAGTTTGCCAGCAGACCGGTTTCATTATTGTGACAAATTTTCAAGAGCTAATTAGATTTTTCAAAATTATGAGAAGGAATAATGTCAATAGAAATAATCCATTTTTCTTTTTCCTTTTTCTAAATGTTGGTGGGATACCCGTGCACGTTCTGAATTTGTTCGAGATATATATCAATAAATAAAAGAAATTTAAGGTGCTACCAAAAACATAACAGTTATTGACACGGTCAATGCGTCGGAAATCTTAAAATGGCAGTAAAAATATATATATATATATATAGCGACTTCAGAGTTATTAAGGTGGCGTTTGGTTCATAGATTCAAATCATGTGATTAGAATTATTTTCAATTTACGTGTATTTTTTATGAGAAAAAATACTATAGCGAATCACGAATCATGATTTGAATCAGAGAACGAAACGAAATATATATATATATATATCTCCAAAAGTGTACTTATCCAGACTGCTTTAAAATTTGAATACAAGATAGCAGGAATCCTGGAAGCTGCGGCTCAACGATGAAAAACACGTGATGGGCCATCTCGCTTTGGAGAAACCGGTTTGATCTCTTGTGCTTAATTTGGATGCAAATGCCATTGATCTTGTCCAAACCACAAAACTGCCCCAACCACAAAACGTGATCGAGTCCTGCGAAAATGGCAGTTTCTGTGATGTACTATGCGCCTCTCATTCCTGAATGCAGCCTTTCAGGTCGTCCAGTTTGCCAGCAGACCGGTTTCATTATTGTGACAAATTTTCAAGAGCTAATTAGATTTTTCAAAATTATGAGAAGGAATAATGTCAATAGAAATAATCCATTTTTCTTTTTCCTTTTTCTAAATGTTGGTGGGATACCCGTGCACGTTCTGAATTTGTTCGAGATATATATCAATAAATAAAAGAAATTTAAGGTGCTACCAAAAACATAACAGTTATTGACACGGTCAATGCGTCGGAAATCTTAAAATGGCAGTAAAAATATATATATATATATATAGCGACTTCAGAGTTATTAAGGTGGCGTTTGGTTCATAGATTCAAATCATGTGATTAGAATTATTTTCAATTTACGTGTATTTTTTATGAGAAAAAATACTGTAGCGAATCACGAATCATGATTTGAATCAGAGAACGAAACGGACTCTTGAGTATGAAAGCATAATTACTAGCAGAGTTTAAGTGAACATAATAAAAAATTATTTATTGATAAATAGTCGGCATAAATAAATGTATGTATAAAAAAAATATATTATTTACTTCAAAAGCTGTTCGTGTTTCCCTCTTTTATCCCATATCTCACCGTCATAATTCACACCTTAAGAATATGTTAGGCCCATTTGGATTGACCCTGATAAGAATAGGGAGAAAGTGGGAAATAGGTCAGGACTTGAGATGAATTAAAATTAGTAGGCTAATAGTTTACATAAGTTAATAAATAAGTTAAATTACTATTTTTGTTAATAACTTGTCTGGTTATGACCATAACTTGACAAGTTATTGCCCATAATTCACGGTTTTTATCCATAATTTGTCTGACTATGAACCATAACTTGACAAGTTTGTCCATAATTTATCTGGTTATGAACCATAACTTGACCAGTTATGACCTATTAATTTCTATAATTAAAAATTGGCCTATATACTTTCTTAAACTTTTCATATTGGCCTATTTTCTACTATTTTCGATAAGAATATAGGCATTAGCTTCCAACAAGATAAGACTATATATACTATGTGTTCAACACTATAGTGACAACAAACAAGAATAAACCATAGCATTAGCAGTCGCAAAACAATATCAACAAAGATTCCATTTATTCTTGCATACATAAACATTTGTGTTTGTATACATTATAGTCTTCTAAAGAGTGACATAAAGCATATTAACTAGAGATAATGTCTCATAATTCATCAAGAGGGGCCCACAGAGCACTAAGTCAGATCAAGATTATCACAAAGTGGGAGATCAGTCTTAATATTATTATTGCTTTTTCATAAAGTTTGCGTTGGCTGACTCGCAAAGTCTCTAGTTTTTTCCTTCCATGATTTGGATTTATGCATTGAAATTGCATGCTTTTTTACTTGCACTTTCACACCTCCCCTTGCCAAAAACATGGTCTCATCTTTTAAAAGGACCAATCCTCATCTTGGGCCCCACATGTACTCCACTAGTCGGCCCCACAAAAGCAGTGCATGTAAACTCAACTTTCACCCCATCACTTGGGCCCACCACCACTGGCCCGAATGATTCCCCATTGTCACGAACCAAAAGCAGACCCCCCCCAACACCACACATGAGATGCCACCACACATGATCATGATTATGATTTCAAACCTACTTTTCCCCCCAACACTCGATCACCACCGTCCATTTTCCTCCCCAGCAATATATATACGAAGCACGTAATTAAAGCCAAAGCATGCATTCCCTAACTAAAGTTTAGGTTTTGAAATAAGAACATTTTTTTTTGTTTTTTTGGTCATGGAGAATAGCAACTCATTCCCGGAGTACTCCTCGGCTTACTCCAGCGAATTCGGGTTCCAGGAACGGTCCAATTCGTATAATTTCAACGGGCCATGCCAGAAGGGGAGCGGGTTTGCGGCGTCGAGTGATCCGGAGCTCCAAAGGAAGAAGAGAATTGCCTCCTATAATGTGTTCACCACGGAAGGTAAGGTCAAATCAAGTGTTAGAAACAGCTTCAAGTGGATCAAGAGCAAATTCAGTGACATTCGTTATGGTGTATGAATTGTCTGAATATATATATATATATATAGGAATCTCATAATTGGGTTCCTATAGTTGTATAATCACCCATATTCTTGTTAGATCATTACCTTTTTTTTTTTTTTTTTTTTTTTTTTTTTCTTTTTTCACCCCCGTTTTTTTTATCGGGGGTTTTTGTTTTGGAAACTGGG